CTCCATCTGCTGATGACGATCATGGGAAATGATCAAAAACTCAAGAATGAACTTTGTAAAAAGTAAGAAAAAAAATAGTGTTGGACATTTTGTCATAAAAACTCTCATTTCAGGCACATGGTTTTTGGACATTTAACAAGTAAAAACATTCATTTCAAATATGCTTTTTTGTGAAGGATAGTATACTGCAGCTTGAGAAGTGTGCACACATTCTGTCATACAGTCTTTATTTGGGGAAGAGTTTTAATATTTCTCCCCTTGCCACCAGGTGATTTTAAAGGTCAAGTCTGATGGTTATAAATTGTGGTCTCTGAGTCATGGAGAGAGAAACACCGGCTGTTCACCTAAGAGCCTTTGGAAGTAAACTTTTCTCAGAGGTCAAGCTGTAAATTTGAAAAGATCTGTCTAAAATGTCAAATAGTTTGTGTCCATACAGAAGAGTTTACTCTTCTTTGAGATGATGGCAAGTGTAAGCAAACATCCAAGAATGATTTTAAGGCATAGTTGTACGTTAAATTTAAGAGGTGAATGGAACATCTCTGTAGGGATATGACACATTGCCTTTACAAGGCACAGCCCAATGGCTCTACAAAATCAGAGTTATTAGACCACTTGACCCTCCCTCAGTTGTTTTCTTTATCCCTCTGTCTGCTAAAGAGTAATTAGAAGAGCTGTTCATTAATTACACGTGTGAGTCCATGGCCAGACATCAGAGCGCTGCCCGGGCAGGTGACTGTATCTGTCAACTGAATCCAATTTTGCCAACTCGCGTAACGTTCATGATTTGTTCAATCAAGACGTCACAGACAATTTGTCTGGCGTGCCTTGGCCACCTCCGAGCTCTTCACAGAAAAGAAAATTAGAGTATCCGTCAGCTGTCCCAAAGGGTCTTGCCTTTGGGAGATGTAGCATCCTCCCCTTCTGTTGACAGACCTGGCGCCTGCCTCACTTGTCACTGTAATTAGTTTTGTTTCGCTACCATTGTGCTCAGCAGCCCTGCTTTATTGCCGCATAGCTGTGTGCAGTCGGGGCTCATTCCACAGTGTTGTATTAAGGTAGGCTGCGTTTAAATGTCCTGACATGGGAAAAAAAAACAAGTATTCTCCTCAAGCATTGATTTGTCCTGCCCTCCACAGCTTGTAATAAGCATACATGCTTCTTGTGTCCAGCTCTCCACTTATTTGTATCTCTCTGCGAAACAACAATTACAGGCCAGTGTTCCATTGATGAATCGTGGATGGGTTTAATTAACCAGCAGGATAATGCTGCTTGTGGGCTCAGTGCAATGAGGGGGCTTGGCCCATCATGGATGGGAGAGCAAATCTCAGAGACTGATCAACAGCAGCGGTGTTATTTTATCAGTCCACGCATGGTCTCTCTGGAGGTACTTATCTGGTGTGCACAGGATTTAAGGACATGAAACATAACAAAAAAAAGGGTAATATGAACATGACACAGGTGTGTAAAGGATAGCTAGAGCATCATCTGTGCACTGACAGACTTCCAGATACATTAAGGTTCATCCAGTTCATGAAAAACAATGAGTGGAGTGACAAGTAATTTGTTGGTGTCATTAAAGTGTGTTCAGACTTATTGTTAAGTCAGTTTTAGAGGCACATGAAGCAAAAAAGCAAAATGCAAAGATGCAAATGTTTCCTTCACAGGACAATTATTTCTCTAAAACGCCTGAAGTTCATTATAGCATTGTAAAAGCCATTACTGTTGAGATTCTTTAAGATAGAAGGTGGAAGGTGAAAAGTCTGTGGACACCATGTGTGATTGCTGAACGTCTTTTTTGAAACCATGGACATTAATCTGCTAATACAAGTCTTATCACTCTTGGCTCGCAGTTGACATTTCAATTCATCCCAGAGGTGTTTGATGTGGTTGTGGTCAGGGCTCTGTCTAAAGTTTTTTCCACATCGAAACCGGAAAACCATTTCTTTATGGACCTTGCCTTGTGCACCGGGGCACTGTAATGTTAAAATAGGGAAGGGTCTATCCCAAACTATTGCTACAAAGTTGGAAGTCTAAATATAACTGAATGCTTTAGCATTCGATTTCCCTTAATCAGAACTAAGGGGCCTAGTCCAAACCACATGCTTTTGAGTTTGACTTTGTATACTGAGGATAAGGGTCTCAGGCGAGGTAATGCAGGAAAGTCTTGATGAATTATGCAACCTCTGGGAGGTACAAAGCTCTAAGTTTTTTAATATGCTGTTTCCAATCATCCCTGCTGTGATGTTAAGTGCACACCAGAAATAGGCTCCATACTGTCTCGCCCACCTAAAGCGTACATTTTCAAAGTTCAAGTGTTCATTGAAACATTTTCCTTTTTTCAAGCGCATTTTTTCATTATTTCAACCTGGGAACAACAGCTCTTTCGTAGCCTTTTTACTCGGCTCGTGCTTGTGAGACACTTCAATCCACAGCTTTTAGTTTGCTCTTGCTCTAGTCCACTCCTCTCACACACAGGTATCACATCCTCCGACTACAATAACAACAGTAATGAACTGACTGGCAAGTGGCAGCTGCGCTCTGACCGCTCTTCTGGCCTAAACTGATTCGCAGCAGCCCATAATGACTTTTACTCCCAAGGCCCCAGCGTTACCAATACCACACACATGTTGTGGGTTCATTTATAACCGAGGACAGCCCTTTAGTAATCAGATAGTGGTTCGATAAACGCTGAACTGCTGACTCCCTTGAGGAAGGCTTCTGAAGGGCGATTTACCACCTCAGTGCTGATGTGATGTCTATCCTCTGTTGGCTCTTTGTGTCTGTGTATGGGGGCGTGGGGGTTCTCTGTCTGTCTCTTCCTGTGTGTGTGTGTGTGTGTTTGCAGTCCTTTGAGAAGGCATAGGCAGTGTGTGACAGCAGAACAGACTGATAGGCCCAGCATCCCCTTTGGCTCCTCTAAAAGAAAAAAGGAAAAGCTGAAGCAGACAAGCAACTGATGATGCAGCCTGCTTTTCTGTTCAATGACAAGACCATTTACACCTTTGAAAAGGCACAGCAAAGTATAATAGCATCTATGACATTTTCATACGAATAAACATTTCCCCTCTCTTAACTGCCAATGGATATAACATAATAGAGATTAAACCGCTTCTCCTTTCCTGAAAGCTTTTCCATTTGCTGCTTCTAAACACTCAGCATCTGGTAGGCCTTTAGTGGGAATAATCCTCCCAGCACACATGGAATGGTGCATTTTCCTCGTGCAGAAACAGCAGCACTTATCTTTCAATGAATTAAACAAGAAAATTAAATGAAGAAAAGAAGTTGCAAAGTTTTGATTGACATGTCTGATGTATGAAAATGAACAAACAAGCGATAAGAGCGCAGATTTGAAGTTGTCACTAAATCATAAAATAAAAAAAGCATGTTGCATAAACCATTATTTGTTTAAAGTAACATAAATTGTAAGTCCATAGGACTTTTTCAATATATTTTGTTTTGGAAGCAGGTTCTGCACGTCCTTCTAAATACACAAACATGCTCTCAATTTATTCATTAACATGAACTCATTATACAAACCTCATATAACCACATTATTTCTGCACTGCTCAAGTGAAAAATAATAATTTAAACTCAGTGTACAACACACTACTTGTGGTAAAAAGGTGCTTCTTCCCTCTTTTTGATCCCTTGCTTCCACTCTGCAGTCTCATATGAATAAATATGTGCATGTTTTTGTGGCGGCTTCACTTTCTGCAAGGTTTAGCTCTTTTAAACAATGTGCAGGGCAGAGGCAGGCAGGGAGAGGAGGCTGTGTGTTATTTTTTTTCCTTCCCTCCTCCGTTCTCTGAAGATTATGGACACATGATGACAGCAGCACAACATAATGCAGAAAATAGAAAAAGTAGCTTAGCACTAGTCATAGGTTTGACAGGAACACTGTATGACATACTGCGCTCAACAATACAAACAATACAATGAACATGTTCCGTATTAGTTCCTGACACAATGAGGCACAATCTGCTACCAGTAAGAAATACAGGGGGGACAAAAGTCAATTACACAATGCGGTATGCTATATTTCACTTTTATAGTAATAAGTTATAGTTCTTCCTGTTACTAGTGTTGGTTTGAGTGGATGAACTGTATATGGGTGCTTTATCTCTGCGTAAATGTAATACAAATTGATCTGACTCCAAGAAGATCATTTAAGTGTTACGTGCTGCTGACAGTGGTTGAAGAATCATTTATTTATCAGTACCACACAATTTAAAAATTCTCCACCAACTTTAGGTTTAGTGGCCTCTAGCAGTGTAGTTGCAGATTACAACCTTCGCCTCACCCTCCTTTTCCAAGCATTGAGGAGAAACTACGGTGGTGCCAATTAACCTACATTTGGGCCAATGAAGTTGATCGAACAGCATTTTAAAATCATTTAAAGCCCCTAAAAGTAACTTGTTGATTCTGGTGGCCACTGTGGACAAAAGCGGTCGTGTTTCTACCGTTTCGCTTCATTGATTTCAAGAGGAATCCAACCGAATCTGAACTGATGGGAGGTATCAAGACTACACAGAAATAGTCAGTGTTCGCACTGATGGTATTTTTTGTATATGTAGGTCATATAGATGCATCAGTATTACATTGGGACGCTTTCATAACTAATTAAAGACTCCTTGTAGTGAGTTTAAGGAATATTTTATGTGGCTACATGTCCCAATGTTACTGTTGTGTGACTGGAATCTTTGTTGAGGTTCTTCCTCTCACAATTGACTTCTTCAGGCTGTGATCATTGTGGTAATCTACTGTAAGCGGAGTGACAATAGCTTCAAACAGATTATGTTTACCTGACACTTTTATCACACACCTGCCAACCTCCTACCTGCTGGGTAGGAGGAGCATGCTGTGGCTGTTAACATGCTGTGGTTATGCAGAAACAAGCTTCAGCCATGTAGGCTTTCATTCTCATTTCTAGGCTACATTCAGTTAACAGCAGATGTAGGAATTTTCTGTTCCCTCCGCCGATGGCTAGTTGCGTCTGAGTGATGGGCTGTGGGAACAGTAAAGTGCTGCCTGAGGCATCTAAGAAGGGCTATGTAAGTGTAGTGCAATCGCTTGTGGCCTTTAGTAAAGCACATGATGATGATGAGCCGAAGAAGCGCCCAGAGAAGCAAAAAAGTCCATGGTTTTCCACCAGCGTTAAGAATCTTCATCCACCATCAAACATCCAACAGCAGACTCTCAGGGATGGACGGCACCAGGACAAAGCTGCCAAGTATAAGGACAAGTTTGATCCACGTGTGACAGCAAGGTAAATATCAATAGTAAGAATTAAATCTCAATATACAAAAAATATATATTTTAGATAACACTAATAGTGTTGAACGCAATCGTAAAATTTAATTAATTGCAGTGTGGTAATACAAAGCTCTGTTTTGTTGTTAAACTGTCTGTAATTATCTTTTGTTACAACATCAGTTATGTGAAAATGTGTCTAAAAACAAAAATAAATAAAAAATGAACAACGATACAAAAACTTGTTGGTCTAATCACACTTGAAATTTAGTATAAAAAAAGCAGGTCACTCATCAAGTAATTTATTGTGTTAAAAAAATAAAAAGTAAAAAATAAATGCTTAATGACTGTGGCTGCACTGTAAATAAGTGATATTATCTTAACACTGTGAGCAGCCTTTTATTCAAAAATAGATAATTTGCAGCACACCACAAGGTGAAATTACTAATTAAGACTAGACTGTCTTCCTGTAGTTGTCAGATGAAAGTGCAGAAACAATTAAAGCAAGGAAACTGACGTCTTTAAGAGAGGTGCAACTCTCTCTCTACATCTAATTAGTCACAGCTTATATGAGGTATGACCTTGTTCATATATACTGTATATACATATGTACATGTATATGAATTTGCCTGGTCGACTGCTGCAGTAAGCTTTACAACATGCAGATGTCTTCCTATACATCACCGCTGCAACTGCAGTGAGGGACATTGAGTGCTTTGCAAGAGTGTATCATGAGATAGTTAGGCTGTAATGAGTCATCGTTTCCCTTCTGCCCTGTCAGATACGACATCAAGGCTCTGATCGGTCGAGGAAGCTTCAGCCGTGTTGTGCGTGTGGAGCACAGGGCGACTCGCCAGCCCTTCGCCATAAAAATGATGGAGGTAGAGGCCCCAGAGGGCCGTGAGGTGTGCGCCTCGGAGCTGGCAGTGCTGCACCGAGTGAGACACTCTAATGTGATTCAGCTGATCGAGGTGTTTCAGTTCCCGCAGCGGGTTTACATGGTGTTGGAATTGGCCACAGGTGGGGAGCTGTTGGACCGTGTTGTCAGCAGGGGACACTTCACAGAGAGGGACGCAACCCAGGCCCTCCGGATGGTGCTGGCTGGGGTTGGCTACCTGCACAACCTGGGAATCACCCATAGAGACTTGAAGCCTGAGAATCTTTTGTACTACCACCCAGGGGCCGACTCCAGGCTGCTTGTTACCGACTTTGGATTGGCCACTTTTGGCAGCACAGGCGCAGGGTCCAAGGTTTCAGGCCCTGACAGAAGTGACGCCGGAGATCATGTTGGAGTAGATAGGACTTGGTTCCTTAGAACCACCTGTGGAACTCCAGAGTACATTGCCCCTGAGGTGTTGCTAAGGAGACCCTATTCCTGTGCAGTGGACATGTGGGCCCTGGGGGTGATCACTTACATTGTGCTGAGTGGATCCATGCCGTTTGAGGATGAAAGTCGCATGCGGCTCTACAGATCCATTGTGAGAGGAAAATACAGTTTCCATGGAAATGTAAGTTTACTTGGTTTTTTTTTGTTGCAGATTGGAGATTAGTTTTGTACAGGAAGTATTTCTTTGTAGCAACTGGAAGTTCTAGAAGCAAAATAATACCAGTTCAGCATCCCTTAGGAATACATGCATATTAGATGATTCTGCATCCCATGATTTATAACCAATGCCAATGTTAGTGTGCCCTTTATATCGCAATGCAAAAACTAAGTGTACAGAGGTTTTGGTGGTGGATGGGCATGTAGCCCGTATGGACATGTAAGCAGGTCCAGCGAGTGCTACAACTCAATGGACAGAACCAAGGAGCCATAACATTTTGGGGTTCAAGTTGGCTAACTTGCAAACATTAAAAGGATATACAATAGCAATACAGTTTTTACGTTCAACATTTCCCCTAAGAAACAACTCTTTAATTTACTGTTTGTTTTGTCTGATCTGGGGCTACTTGCTGCATTTTAGCAAAAGATAATGTTGGTCTTATGGAATGGATTTTAATATCTAGCTCATGCAGCTTGGCCATACTGTTCAAGTTGTTCCTCAGAAATATTCTCTCATAGAAAATATGGTCGTTGTCTTTCCGTACAGAAACCTTTGCATAGTGTAGACTTGACCCCTGCTTCTATGCAATTTTGACAGTCTTATAATTCCGACTGCTGTACTGTCATGAACCGAAAAGAGAAACCGATTTTGTTTTATGGATGCAAAACAAAAGCTCAGGAACGCAGTTTAACCAGAAACTGTAGTTCTTTGGCCAGTTGTCATTCTTTGGTTGGCTGAGGTTAAACCCACTGAATAAACCTGTTTCCAGCATATCACTGCTTCAAAAAAGTTTAAAAACAGTGTCAAATAAAACTGTCTGGTATTTCTATTTTGACATCCGCTGTTCTCCCCTCAACACCATCTGCTTTGTTGTGAATGATGTGCACGCTTTGTGCAATTATCCAACCCTAGCAACACATCCGTTCGGGTATGGCTGTTACATCTACTCACTGCACAAGAATCATTCAAACCTTAATCATTATGCAACTAGAGCTACCAGAAATAGCTACGTTATAGCATCCTTGCCTGGTGTATGTAGAACATATTCAACTGAGCATGTCGCAGTGCAGGTGTGGTAACAAGGTGATTTTTTGGGGGTTTCATCCCATCCGCTGCATCATTGTAAAGCATAAGAATGGATATGTAAAAGTTTGTTGTGGTGTCTCGAGTTTCCACTCGGTACGGCTCTTTGAGAATGCTTCGAAATGGGGAAAAGGCGGCCCTGCATGTTTTTTTTTCCCCCCCTTTCCTCTGTCATACAACTGAAGTGGGTATTTTTAACAGCCTATTCTGTCAAGCTCAGTGGTGAGTTTGGGCTTGTTCTTTCACGCTGATTACACCCAAGGCTGGATTATTCACTGGGCTTTATGCCTGGCCCGATTCTCAGGGATGCAGCCTGACATTTTAGTCTGGCATACAAGAGGCTCCCTTACATAGGCCCTGGACTATTATCCCTGTGTTTACCGCTGCACTGACCACCAACTGAACAATAGTGCAAAATCCTTCTAGAGTTTATGCGAGAGCTTATTTCACTTTTTTTACGGTGGCTTTCGACACAGCTCATATGTAGGCCACACTGGCGGAGAAAAATCCTCGGGAAATAGGCTGAAAACTAATTTTATTTTAGGTCCTCACGTATAACATCTTACAGCCCTCCGAGATTCAGTGAAGGCATCAGTCTGTAAATTCATATGATGACAATATGAAGATATCATACATGGCTGAGTAGCACTCCGGGGCTTGATGGATCAGCCATCAATCACATTTCCATCTTGACAAGACACTTATTCTCCGTCATGTGCAAGTATCCACCCTCCCTGATTGACATGTACACACACACACACACACACACACACACACACACTGATGATAATGTTGTAATTTGTGATGAAGGTTCACAAGTATCCACAAAATGTGAACCTCTGCCATCTCAAGGGTTCTTCATGTCATTCAGAAGGGTGCTTGTCTTTAGAACGAGAATAGTTTCAACAGCCTCAACAATTCCCTCCATATTTAACTTGACTTGAAGAGTTTAATTTGAAATGAGCTATCCGCCAATTGAAGTGACACAGAGAAAAGCAAGATGTACAAGATGCCTTTCATACAGGGAGTTATGATAACACTGACTGTGCTTTAGTGAAATGCAAGAATTGTACTTACAGCAACTTAAATGCATCCAGTAAGGTTGTTTTAGCAAGAGAAAAAAAAAGAATTTACTTTGAATAAATCACAAGGACAATTGGAAAAATGATTTGCTGGTTTGCTTGCAATAACCTAGAGTAATGTCTTTTTTCTCTAAAGATGTCACTCAGTGTAATGCGATGTCAATACAATAGGTCTGTTTCACAGCAGACATGTTGACTTGTCACAGTAGGAAAAGCACATGTGTTGCTAATAACATTAACCGCATTCCCAGGAAGTCATGACAGTGTGGCAGTGGACCAGCATGCAATATATGAGGACCCTGGAAACTGAAGCAGCTAAATGGAATTGAGCCATCATTCATTTTATTATTCACACCTGTGTTTTTCCTACTGTGACATGTCAAAATGCTCTCAGTGAAAAGGGCATATAGACCACAATACAAATGATATGATCACATGAGAAAGTACCAAGAGATCCTTTAAAAATGATTATGAAACTAATGAAACGTGTTAATGGGCCCTATATGCAGAAGGTGAGTGGCAGGGTGCATCCTGGACAGGTTCACAGGGCTGACACACATAGACACTCCTTCACATTCACAATACAGAGTTTACATTTTGTCTAAGCCCTATTACAGGACATGAGTTATCTGGATAACGTAGTAAAACACAAATCTGAAACACAAACTGACGTAAAAGCGGTTTTATTCAGCGCAGTTATCTGATAACTCAGTAAATCAATTTGGGAAATCAAGGTGCAAAATAAAACCCAAACACTTGTAATTTCCTTTTGTTGCATTGTTGAATTCCTTTACAAATGTTTTTTTTATTTTGGTTACCTATGAATTTACTTTCATGATTCCCCTTCAAATCGTGTAATTATTGACGAGAGTTTACTGCAGGTGTCACTCTACTAGGTGAAAGAGCTATATAACCATATGTAAGATTATAAGGTTATATAATACTTCAGTTATCAGTAGCAGACTAATGTCATTGGAAGATCAAAATTAATATTCAACAAAGCTGTGTGATGAAAAAGAATTAACTTCAGGTATATAATCTTTTGAGATAGACATATAAAGATTTTGAAAGTCAGAGCACCTTAGTAGCTAAATATGTATGGGGCATGCCATACTCCGCTCTCTCACCTGTTTCCTGTCTACCTCTGCTGTCTAATTATGGTGAAAAGAATCTTTAAAAAAAAATATATATATGGATTTTGAAAGTTACTCTTCTTCTCTGCTATGCAAATGCATACTCAAGGGCTGCAATTACAAACCTTCTTCCAAGAGTATCAGTAACCATTTGTGTTTATTGAAGCAGAATAGTGAGAAGCAGTAAATGTGTGTGAGTGTAGGTGGGCCGGGGGTTTCGTCAGTAAGATGGAGGTGAGACTCACTAAGAAATGCAAACGGCCTCTGGCACCTGCCCACGTTCCAGGTCCCTCAGTCTCCCTAGCATCCCCCACCCCCACCCCCCTTCCCTGCTGCACTAGCAACACACCATGCATACATTCCCCCTACAGGTGCCCCTGGCCTAAAGACCTGTAGTGCAGACTCACACTAATGTGTTTACTCAACAGTGGGAGGGAGGAGGGGAGTTGGGGGGGGGGGTGGATGGCAGGTTGTTGGAGATTGGAGGGAAAAGAAAGGAGGGGACAGAGGACGAGCAGGGCAGAGGAAGAGCGGGTCTAGCCTTGGGGGCTTTTCACACCTTATCACTCAATCCGTTCGCCGCACCTAAGACGAAGCGTTTCCCTCGCACGGAATCAGGACATCTCATCTGAGGTGTGTGTGTGTGTGTGTAAGTGGATTTCTGTGTGTGCGTGTGTGTGTGTGCCCATGCTCATGTCACTGCAGCCTTTTGTATGTAAAGCACAAATCCTTGCTTTAGTTCAGGCGAGACAGCAGCCTGGTAACCTCCTCTGCATTCTGCTCCTGTGTTATTGAAGACACACTTTCCTGACCCAACCCAAACATCTGCATCTCTCAGCAGCAGGGCAACCTGGGTAACGGTTAGCCCAGTCTGCCCCCTAGTGAGCACCATTTGAACAAATCCAGCATCCACTTGGCCACAGTCTATTGTACATGACAGTCCAATCTCTCCTGCATCCGGGTATTGATATTTTGATTACTGCGGTTTTGCTGCGACTTTCACCTGAATTAGCAACAGGCCACCTTCCCCATTTGGACTCATTATGATGAGGCATATTTAAACTTGGCTTTGTTTCTCCGGAAATGCTGCCAGTTGAATCACATTTGAGTCAACTGTGAGGCGGAGACTCTCGTGTGGAGCAGTTCATTACTCAAAAGTGCATTATCCTCGTGATCACATTAGCGTAATCCAACCTTCTAGCGTTTTCTTCATTTGTTGCAATTACAGCTTTGTCAGGTAAAGATGTAGCACGCGGCAAACACAGTCAGCAGAGCTTCTCATTCACTCTAACAAGATGTTGCTCAATAAGCCAAGCCCTGTAGGTTTTTCCACCCCTTATGCCATATCTGCGCTCCACTTGTCTTCCCCCCTCCCTCTCCCTCCTCTCTGGCTAGCTCTCTGCTCAACAGTGATGTATAACACCGGCTCTTGCCCCCTTTCTCCAAACACAATAAAGCCTTTGTGCATTTTGACGTGAAAAATGTTCAAAATAAGGGAGACAGATAAACTTCCTGCAGGTGGCTCCGTTCCAGGAAAACAACACAGTTATGTCTCTTTAGATGTACCATGTGGATAGCGGGAGGGAGGCAAACTTTTACTTCTACAAAGATTTTTTTCTGCATCATTCCCAGCTAGTGAAGGCTTCACCACCTCTTGTATGCAGCCAGCATGCACGAAAGTCATGTGTTCCCGTCATTTCAGATCAAGGACAAAGGGACTCTGCTAGCCACGGCTGCTATCAAATGTGTATTTCATGGCACAGTAATAAGGAGCCTCACCGAATCACCACCAGTGCGAGATGAAGAGGAAAGCCAGACTTGTTAGTCGTGGGAGCTCAATCAAACACTTTCTCTTCTTCCCAGGGAAACCGAGTGTCACTCTGCCTGCCTCTCAGGTGTGAAATAACAACACAATGAGAAGAAAGTTTGAGTGAGAAGCATTTCTTACGGCTCGTTCGGCGGGTGGCTCTGCACCCTGCGCTGTGCTCGCACACACACTTCTCTCCAGTCAGTGCACTGTGAGAATAAGCGAGTCCCTGCTTCTTTGAATTCCTCTCACCGGCAACAGTCTCGCGATTGTCAATTTCATGCTTGATTAATTGTCATTACTCGGCGAGAGACAAAAAAGGGGGGAGAGAAATGCATTTCAGGATTAAAATGGAGAGCGAGACCTCCCTAAAGAGCGAGATTTAGTCTGTGCAAGGTTGAGCGAAGAATGAGAGAATTTTGCACACACATATTTGACTGTATTTAGCTTTTATTCTCCTCAGCCAGACACGGTAGAATGTTTCTCAGCTAATTGGTGGGCGACTGTGGAAATATTTTTGCATGTTAAAGACAAGAGAGTGAGATTGAAGCGATTAAGGATGCAGTCTCTGTACTATGCTTATCATTACCTGACTTCATTCAAAGAATCCCAACAATACAGGATGTAGAGAAAGAGAACACTGATAAAGGTTATTGTGTTACGGGCCAATCTCTACACTCAGTTGTCTTCTGCCATCCTTTTAATCTGATGCCACGTCAATCTAATTCAATGTCTGTATCAGTAATATTTTATTTAAAATATGATAGAAGAACAAAGGTCATCAATTTCCTGAGGCAGGCCTCCACAATGTTGTCTTCATGACAAAGAACCAAAGCCATGATGAATAATTTAATGATTCTGAATTATGATAATGATTCTGATGCCTTCTCTCCCACTGGAAAGATGGCATGGCAGATTTCAAAGCATTCTTGAATGTCAGCTTGGGTCATGACAAGGGGAATGATTTGCTTTTTGAATGAACAAAGAGCAAAATAACCCAGTGAGGCTCATCTGTGGTGCCTTTATTGTGAAGCTAATGCAGGCTAAGAATAAACATGCACCCAAATCCCACGCATACGGCAGGGCTGTCCTACCTCCCAGGCTTCGTATTCTTTCACCCCAGACTGCTGCTTCCCTATGCCCAGTGACATTTAGCTTTCCTTTGAGTTTAGTTCTGCTTGTTAGGCCTGTAGAGCACAGGGATCATAGTTTTATTGCTTTGTTAGAATGAAATCTTGCATCCTGCTTTGAATAGGCTTTGAATCTGTGCAGGCGCCTCGTATAGATACGAACCCCAGTTATTTTAGAGGACTGCGGGTTCCAGAGTCTCTGTGTGTGTAGGCTGAATTGACATCTTCTAGGCTGGGTGTTTTTTCATGAACTCACTCTGCTCTGCTTCTTCTATTCCACAGCCTTGGCCCTCAGTGTCCAACCTGGCCAAGGACTTTATCCAGCGCCTGCTGCCGTTGGACCCAGCCACCCGTCTGACGGCCGACCAAGCCATCCGTCACCCCTGGGTGGTCACCATGGCAGCCAGCTCTTCCATGATGAACCTCCATCGATCTATTTCCCAGAACCTCAGGCAGCGGGCATCACGCAGCTCCTCCCGGTGCCCGAGCAGAACCGCGAGCTCTGGTGATTCCAACAGCGTGGGCCTGGGAAGACTAATTTCGCTGGAGAAAAACCAAGAGCAGCAGCAAGGCAGGGCATCTGGACTGAGTCAGCCTCAGAGAGTCATACAACATCCAGCCAGAGGGCTCCAGGAGCATCATTGCCATCCAACTGAAGCCCCAGATTCATGTGAAGGCTAATGAGGGGATGGAACCAGCTGCCCCAGCTCAGTGTGTATTGCAATCACAAACCTCCGAGCTGCAAAAGGGGGAGCCAAAGTGTCGGGGACAGGTGTTGTGACAAAAAAAGTTTCCTCCCTTCTCTGGCCTTCAGTCAGGGACCCAGGTTCCCCTGAAGGCTGAGCTGATCCTCCATTAGTTTCTCGCGGTTGGGTTATGCTGTTAGTGAATATCCTTCAGTTTTGAGGTTGAGGCTTATGTTGAGACAGAGTTGTCCACCTCCACAAGGTCTCTAGCCCATGGTTATTCACACAACTCAGACTAATGGCTTCAAGGTCTCATCTAGATCATTATGAGTCACCACATTACCTGCCTATGTAGAGGTTCATTCCAAAATGAGAAATTCATCATTTGAAAAAAGGGAGCTAATCTTAGCGAGGATGATGTAAAAGTAGAAGAAAACTTGTCTCTTCTGCTCTGATCCTTTTCCTTTTTTAGTACAGTGTTTGAACACCCCACCACCGAAGAGCAGGATGATTTAAATTCTCTAACATTTTGAGGGACAAAGAAGCAAATACGCTGTAGTCTTTTCTTTTGTTGACAGTCCTCCTACATAGCAGCACCCACAGTCCTGTACTGAAAGCACAATCCAGATATTTGGTGACAGGCCTCTATCAAGTTAAAATAAAGCTCTGGGTTTAAAGAGCTCTCTGCTCTCCCCCAAACATTATGTAAGCAGTAAACGACACCATTTTCAAAATAACCCTTTTTCCAATGAGAAGACTTAAATTATAATGGTAATACTAGCATGCATCAGGAGAGGAAAACATCCTGAAAGTGCATTACACTGCAAGTAGGAAGCGAAACATAATTACCAATAAAGTTCAATCTTGTTTAGCAATATAAATTAAACAGCAGGGTCTTACTTTTTGTTCAAATCATTCATGTTTAATGCTTTTGTTGCAGATTATAAGTAATGTATTGCACTGTGAGTTGGCTCTACATACAAAATATACAGTATCTGGATGCAAGACGGAAATACCAGTAGACGGATTAGACAAAATGTTAACATAGAAAAAGGACTAGAACAGTGGTATTTTATCCAAAAAGACACAACTATTCCTTGTGCCCTTTACTGAAATAGGGAATCATTTAATTTTTTTGATGTTTTGTGCAATCAAGTATCTCATAAGAGAAGGTATGAGTTGTACATTTTGTGTGAAATGGAATTTTTCTGTCTTTTTTTGGACCTCGTACTTCATCAACAGTAAGATTTTGACCTTTATTGTGCTATTCCTTTACATTTTTGAGCGTCATGTGCGAATATAGTATTTTCAATGATATAATGAATTAAATCAATCAACCAAATGTGTTGTAGGACAGCTACCTACTGTCATATTATCATTAATATGTTAATATACTAATATATTAAAAAAAATAGTGAAATGGCACAACTCAAGGTCCACTTGCTTCCTTTTTTCTGAGCTTTCAACCACCTCTCATGGGAGACTACAAAATGTGGTTAAACACTTGTTTTTTCCAGAGCTTTCGGCCAAATGTTACAGTTGGATTAAAACAAAAACTACTTCTGTGCTTTCGCATAAATGTAATAAAAACCTCCACTTTAAACAAATCAACTTGCTAGATGTAAGCTTTAAGCTTTCAGTCAAAACTCACAACTTGCTTATCTGCTAAAAGCACCAGGAAAATGCTAGCAAGTGGACCTTGAATTATTATAATTATTCTTTTTATTTTATTTATTTTATTGTATTTTTTCAAACTGGTTAATTATTGTTAATTTGCTGGTAAAATACAACTTCTACTGTAATGCAGACTTTGGTTGGTTACCATAAAGAACAAAGACGTAACTCAATTCCCACACATTCAACAAGGCTCTGTTTAGTGCCTTACTCAATTGTGAATATGATCTCAGATGATGTCATTTGGACGAGGCTCATGCATTATTTCTCCAGCAGGGAGCATTGGAGAGTTGTTAATCCCTTTTAAATGGCTGTCCCTACTCACTGACCTGAGATCAATGTCCCTATGGGAAGGAAAAGAGAACTGCTGGTGCATTTTGGAAGTAACGTGTCATCAAGCAGCAATACAGAGAGAGCACTGTACTGAAAGTAGGATGTTAGCGGGCAAAGAGGAAATCTCCTTAAATTGAGTTAACGGTGCATGGTCTTCTGTCTTTGTGTTTGATCAGAGCTACATATTCTGCTTTAAACTGAACCATAGTAACTTTTTGCACATAGACTGACATGGCCTCATGCGGCTGTGAGAAAAAAACTCCTATTTCTACTGAATTATTTGAGTGGTGTTGTGCAATTGATTCTATATCTGGTGTTATCAAATGCTGTTTGACTGAATGGTCGAGGAAATGGTGATTTGTTATGCATTTTTATTTGAAACTCTGTCTGCAAACAAATTTCCACTCACAGACTGATAAAGAAATTTGAATTGAATTAAACCAAACAGAAGTCAGCAATAATGGAAAGTGGTCCCATTTTTTTCCCATATCTATTATCTTTCCAGTCTCACTGCCATTATCTCTCAAAAGGGAATAACACAGCAACTGTCGCTTCGATGTGTTGTCCATCTCATTTCTGCACACTGACTGATTCCCTTGTCTTCAGCAGTTACAGTTTGTTTTGAGTGGGCAGTGACAGCAGCTTGATCTAAAAAAGAAATGCACTACATATTCACTTCCAGTATTTAACAGAGTCCTGCAGATAATCCATCTATTATTTTAGTCTGTGATGTTATGTGATCACTTTCCACATAGCTGTGGGTACTGACTCCTCTGAGGGATAAAACTGCAATCCCAACAGATGGATGCAAATAAATCTGCCATTAGCTGTGGATCAACTTTCGTATTATCTCTTTGACTCCTCAACCTAGTGCTGCACAACAATTGATCCAGCCACAAAGGTTAGAAGGCTCTTGCTAGAAGGGGCAAACAAATTTCTGCATAGGTACGATAGATTTGGAGCAAAAAGCACATCCTCAAAACTAATTTAGCTTGTGTGCAGTTGGGTCCATATCTTTCCATAAAGGCTTTAGTCTCATAGTGGTCAGCAAGGTCAAACAATTGAGAAAGCGAGATAGCATTTACTCTCTAACACCAGCCCTATATGAGGACAAGTATGACAGAAAGTGTCTTTTTCTTTCCTTCAGCTTTTCTCAGCAGAAAACTAAGGACTTATTCTCTTTATCTTTGGCCTTACTTGAAGAGATCATTTGCTGCTCAGGACCCTGAAACATAAGCTGGCAGATCCACTTGTGGCTGCTATAAGAAAGAGGATAACAGAGGGAGGGAGAAGTGGTGGAGTCCCCCTGGCTCATGTGCTGTACAGGATGTTTAGAGGAACCATCTGGTCCCTCCCCTAGAGGATAGATACTCCATCTCCCCTTCATGTATGTCTCCACACAGTTGAATCGTTCAAGGTAAGTGCTTCTTATTTCTATTGTATAAACCAAACACGCAGTAGATCAAATACTGGGGTCTTTTGTGAGCTCCTCAGTGTGTAGATTATTTTCCTTAAACAGCAATTACAACTCCACTCCACCTTAATGATTTGAGAGGAAAGAATGGTCCACATTTTTAGTCAGTAAATTGCTTTCCTTTTTTTTCCCAGATGAACCTGCTATTTGCCGCTGTCCTGTTATTGTGCTGCAGATACAACGCCACAGGAGCACAAGGTGGGTCAATACTTTTCTCATTGAGGATGCAATAAAAGTAAACTGTCTCATTATTCTTCCTACTCAGAAATTCTCATTTAGATTGTAGCCTGGATCCCACCAGTTGTTTTGCGACTTAAAATTTGCACTTGTCATCTCCTCAGGGTGGCGCGGCTCTGTTTTTAAGTGTGGTAGATTTAGACTGAATGGGACAGCAGGTGGACATGTATTCTCCTCTGTGAGACATTTCAGCGAAAAGAAACAGCTTGGATTCAAATGATAAGTTAAAGGGATGGTTTGACATTTTTGGAATTATGCTTACTTGGGGTGCCCTTTTCTTTCAGGGAGCAGTGACATCTTGAAGTCTCCACTGGTTGTCTGGTAGTCACTGCTCCCGACCAAGGCATATTCTGGTTTTTATACGATACATTTTTAAAAGATAGAACGTATTCATCACTGAGCTTTAGAGGTGCTAGCAGACATATTTTGTTACCTTTGGACAGAGCAAGGCTAGTTTCCCCCTGTTTTTTCATGCTAAGCTAAGTTAAGCGCCCACTTGCTGTAGCTTTATATTTAGTGCACAGATATAAGAGTGGTATTGAACTCTCAGCAAGAAAGAAAAATTACAGTATTTCCCAAAATCTACCAAAAACTTTCTTTTTTTTTAAATATTATTCTGTCCGCCCCTGTGGACAAAAGAAGTAGTGTTTCAACCGCCTTGTTTCATCCAGTTCATGGGAATCTGACTGGCAGGCATGAAGAATAACTATCTCGAAATAGCAATCTTCTCACTGATGATTTTGATCTGGGATATTATGATAGTGCAGCAGCTTTACTGGACCTACCATAACTGCCATATTAAAATACATTTTGTATAGGTTTCACCTTAAGAAGTCAAAATGATTCCACATTCTACTTGGGTGTTCCTTGAAGGTGGCTGGGTGGCCTTGTCACTAGGTGTAATCCCCAAAATTGAGCTCCCACATGTCTGGGTAAAAATATGATTACAGCAGGAATTTCCATAAGATATACCGAAGATTGAAAATCACTTTGTGGCAACGTGGTCTCAAAATTCCTTCTATCTAGAATCTAGTGGTTGTATTTCTTTAAACTCTGTGTCTACTGCATGTGAATTAGTATAGAGGTATACAGCTGCCCAAATGTGGCTGGTTGCCGTCCAGACTGCCAGCAGTACAATTCAGATCACAGGTTGCCTTCAAATGGAATTTTTGAGGTGGTATTTTTGATATGGAAAGTCAAGTACAAGATATACCGTACATGGTTTTCAAGTGATGCACTGTTGCTAGGCAACTGACAACAAAAATGTCAATGATTGATTTGATTTTTTTGCATTTCAATTGCATTGTTAAGGAACAAAAAATGAGAAGAAAACTGATCCTAACTGCAGTAACCTCCCTTGGCTCCCAAAGTGAACCCTTACATACAAAACCAGGATGTGAAAAGAAAACTTCACCTGCACAAATATGATGTGGTACATTTATGCAGTGGAAAAATAGAACTTTTTGCTGGTTTCTACCTACACAACATTCAGATCACGAATGCCAAAGTCAGGGGGTCAGGAGCTGCAGAGAGTGTCTGGCAGCAGGGCCACACTGTGCTTGGTGTGCTGAGGAGGTGAGTGACCTCGGAAACACACTCTGCCTTCTTCTTCGAAGGGATCACAGTTAACGCAACCACTGTTTGGGACCATGAGAAAGTTTCTCAATGCGCCACTTCAGTTCCTTTATCAGAGTGATGCTTATTGGCAAAGGCTATGAAATCTTAATTAATTCTTTGTTTAAAGGCCTAATCAGTAATTAATTAGACCATGTAAGTTGCATTACAACTGCAGAATTTAGCAACAGAGGGTTTAAAAGTTAGTTTTTGTTTCCTATTGTTGATTAAATGCTGTTTCATAGGCTTTTCTATTATGACAAGAATAAAACTTTGGGGTGAAATGGAGAATTATTTCTCTCTTTTAAGCATATTATGCAAATCATCGGCACATATTATAACTAATGACAGTTCAAAATTGAGAAAATGCAACCATGAAAATAGTCTAAAGCCTCAGAAATCACGTCCCTGCTGTGCTAGTAACGTGTTACAGACCACATAATAAAAACAACACATGTGATGTTTTTAATTACATGTTGTGTTCAACAACCATGTGAGCTTGTTCCAACATAAATACCATAAAAGAAAGTGTGGAAATTTGTCACCATACATGGGAGCGTGAAATGTATGTGGCATTTTTAATTACATTTATTTGCATGTTTAAGGATGAGCAAAGGGAGAAAAACATAAACACAAGCTGCTTTTCTTTATCACATTCACACCCTCTCTCTATTACTGATATTAGCTACATCATTTATCAGTAATTTATGCAAATTATGTTTAGTGTGATTTGGTCTTAGCTGTCAGCGTCTTTCATTTTAGTCATTTTTCTTTGTCCGAGTGTTACATAAGGGTTTGAACTCAACCTAAACCTGTGTCAAGAATTTTCTAGAAGTGGGCCAGCACATATGGGAGCGCTGTGACACACCCAGGGCACTGCTGAGGAGGGGCTGTCCTTTTGATCGCCTGGAAGATCCCAGAGGTTCCACTGTCCTTCTAAAGAACCGAAAGATCACCTTCCACCCTAAAGAACAAAGGCGCCAACGGCAGCACAAACAAGTCACACAACTCCAGCCGCAGTCTGTTCTGCTGCACCTCAGACCAGGTGGGTGTGCATTTTTCCAGATGGCTTCTGTAATGTAGCTTCATATTTGGTTCTTAAGTTTGGTTCTTAAATATATATTTTTTTCCTATTAAATTATTGTTAAATTATATATTATATAACTTAGATCTCCCTCCATGATGATCTAAATGCTATTTCAAAGTCTCCATTAAGTTAGGAGAATGATAATTAAGTGTGAAAATATAAAATCACTTTAACTTTATTTTTTGATCTGTCAGAATCAGCCTTAAAAAGTATGCGCGTACAAACTCTTCATCAAGTCAATAACACCTCAGGGCATGCTGCTAGAGTTGTGTACACTGAGGGTTTCCTTAGTTTCCAAAAAAATTACCACTTTTCCAATTTGTAGGTGAACCCCAGAGCTTTGAGGTGAAGTTCAGGCGTGTGGAGGACTACCCCATAGACCTGTACTACCTGATGGATCTGTCCTTCTCCATGGAGGACGACCTGTCCAATGTCAAGAAGTTGGGAGCTGACCTCATGGAAGAGATGAGGAATACTACTAGTGACTTCAGAATGGGTTTGTCTGCCTCAATTTCCATTTCCCTCTCACCTGAAATGTAGGTTAACATAATTTTTCTTAACTTTTTATACCTCCATACACATTTTTATGGTATACCCTTGTGTCACATTCACACAGTTACACACCTGGGAGCTGCCCGGTACAATCATAATCTTACTACTGGCCACTGAGCAGCACCACTGGAGCGATTGGGGATTAAGTGCTTTGCTCAAGGACAACTGGTAGCTTTTGAGAGAAGGGAGAGCATTAGTTATTCACTTTCCACCCTTCAGCCACAAAATCACTTCTAAAAACTTTATGCTGCTTCTTACTCTCCTCCATTCAATCCCACTCCAAAAGGCTTTGGTGCATTTGTGGACAAGACAGTGATGCCATACATCAGCACTGCGAAGGACATGCTCAGGAATCCTTGCAAGAGGACTGAGCCTTGGCCCTGTGCCCCTCCCTTCACCTACCACCACGTCCTGAGCCTCACTGCAAACGGAAGCCTCTTCACAGAGCAAGTAGGGCGACAGCGGATCTCGGGGAACCTGGATTCACCAGAGGGGGGGCTGGACGCTCTGATGCAGGCAGCCACGTGTGAGGTAAAATGTGAGGAAGCCCAGCAGGGAGCAGGACTGCAATACAGAGATTGTTGCTTATGTTTGGGTGGGCGTTATGAGGAGGAAGTGGAAAGCCTGCAGACAATAGATGAGAGGGTTATTTCAGAATACTAAGCTTCCTTTGGGAAACTGCACCCCGTCAGTTTTTGGTATGTTTTAAACTCATTATCGCAGTTTTCAAATGTGAAATTTTGACTTCAATAATTTCAAATTGACTGGATGACTGATTTAAGCCTTAAACAGCATGAAGGCATGAATTAAGTATTACTCATCCGCAGTCATTTGATTACATACAAAAGCAGAAAGGTAATTCTTTTCCCAAAGCCTGTCATAAACACTTATATCAGTCACGGTGCTCTATTTGCTGCCAATTGGCAGTTCATTGACTGTTTCATGATCTCCACTTGCAGGAGCAGATCGGCTGGAGAAATGTGACCCGTCTGCTGGTGTTTTCTACTGATGCTGGCTTCCACTTTGCCGGAGATGGCAAACTGGGTGGCATTGTACTTCCCAATGATGGAAAGTGTCACTTGCATAAAAATGTGTACACAAGAGGAAATTCACAGGTTTGGTGTTAATAATTTGAATGGTAGTCTATAGTAATGTAGCTTTTTGTCTGCTGTCTAGGCAGGTACTTTCAGACTAAGGTGGTCAGGGCTGTTGTCTGCCAGTCTGTTTTCAACTTCTTCACCCTTGTGGAAAAAAGATTGATTAATGCAACTTTGGTCTTGGTCTGTGAATATAAATCACAAAGCTTTAGCTCAACAGAACAAGCCGCCACAGCAGTGTGTCTATGTTTTCACTCTTGTTTGTAGTATGCATTGGGTAGCTGTGGTCCTGGGGAGCATACAGTGTTTATGCTATGGACCAGATATTGCGGCGCATGCTAAATTGATTCCCGTCTGCAATCCTTGCAGTGAAATAGAGGTCCAGGCTGCTGCAGACAGAAGTCAAAGACAGTGATTTAAAGGTCAGAATCAACAGCACAGTTCCCTGGGTAAAGAAGATGCTGACAGGCACACCCTGATGGGAAACAGCTGGAGTGTTTGTGGAGTAATCCAAACCAAAGCTTTCATCTCTTAATCTCACTGTGTTTGTGTATAGATGGCTGGGTGGGTAGTTCTTGACTGTGTATGTGTGCCTATTTATTTGCTTGTGAGTGCATGTCTTTGTCCCTGTGTGTTAAACATCTATATAGCTCTCTCATTAGGTTCATGAGGGCATTATAGTCTTTACCTCATTGCAGTGCTGGCAGTTGACAGGTGGAGGGAATATAGATATATTATTAATCTATTTCAGTCGGGATAAATGACCACCCAAGGCTGAAAATGGATGTGCGAGGCACTGGTGTTGCTCCTCTCTGAATGGTATACTTATTTATCTATTTGGAGGAAATGGAAAGTCTGTCAAGGAGAGTGAATGAAATAAGCAATAGAAAGAGTTGTTAGATGGGAGGGAAAGGGGGAGGACAGCGATGGAGGGAAGAGGGAGAGCATACTTAACTACTGATTACACATATATATTCTCACCTGAGTGTTATGCATTGCATTTTGCATCTCCCCTGACTTTGCTCTGTCAGGACTATCCTTCGGTGGCTCATGTCGCCGAAATATTGAGACAGAAGAACATCCAGATCATCTTTGCTGTCACTGAAGAAGTCACACACTTGTATGAGGTACACCAGAGACTCTCTATTCATTCATTATTCATCTTTCTTTTTCAAAAATGCATACCTTCAAGTTATGAAGGGTTGTTTTCTATGTTCTAGTCCGGGGAAGATGGCGGAAGTAAAGCCACCTTTACAGTGGCGACACCCCAGTTGTAAACTTGTGCAATTGCTCTGTAGTTTATGGAAAGGATTTCACCTTTTAACCACTTTTATGGAGCTTTTTCCTAATAAATAAACTAAATTCATAAACCTCCCTTTCATGAAATCTTTGTGGATTTCACTACATCCAACGCTCCATCTGAACCATACTCTTTGAGTAAGCTTCTAAGATGTAAATAAGTAACAACTGCATTATAATGAAGTTAATAATGAATTACAAGTTTCTTAATTGCAAATCAAAATGTGAAAATAATACTGGCTAGGCGTCACATTATGTAACACAGAAGGTTAAAAAGGTTAATTTGCGGGGCACTGTTTTTGGCAAACGTTATTTGAATAGGAGTGAATGGTGTTTGGGGACTGTTTTCAGCTGAAGATTTGGTGCTCTCATGCGTATTTACAGAAGCAGGACTTTTACGTTGGATTGATATAAACTACAGTGGCCGAGGGCATTGTAATGAAGAAACATGTCCCCCAGTGCAATGGTGTGGCTCATTGATGTATTTTTAATGTCTTTTGGACAACAGCTCCATGACACACAAGAATAAGATTTATCAGGCTTTGACAACAGAGACAATACCAATTCATTGTTGGTTATGGCATTTGTATATTTGAATTAGATTTTCAGACCATTCAAGCTTCCTTGATTTGACACCACATTCAGTTTGTCTATGCCACCGTAATGGAAAGGTTGTATATAAATCAGCTAGGGGACTGTTTATAAGCTTATATTCATTCATCTATGCTGATGATATTGTTGCTTTGCTGCAGGGCTTAACAAGCATCTTCCCAAAATGTGCAGTCGGAATGCTTTCCAACAACTCCCACAACATCCTGCAGATAATAGTCGAAGCATACAATGTAAGTGAGGCAGAAATTCCCTTCCCACAAAGGTCATTAGCCTCATGTGTGTAGCCTGCTGACACCTCCTCATGTTTAAGGGGTTAACTGTTCTATTGACTGCAGGCACTGACCTCTGAGGTTGCTATGGAGAACAGCAAGCTGCCACCGGGCTATCACATCTCCTATACTTCACACTGTAAGGATCGCAAGCCGAGGCACAGTGAGCAGGGGAGGAAGTGCTCCAACATCTCTGTAGGTGACGAGGTGTGTAGACATGTGACTGGCTCTGTGTGTGGTAAGTTGTGTAAGTGCCGCTGTTAGCATGTGGCCATTGACGGTAATGCTAATTATGATTACCTCATTAGTGGAGCATCATAATTGTGCTCAAGGAATTCTCCCCTCCCCTCTAGGTGAGCTTTAATGTAAGCATTACAGCACCTCTGTGCATGACTGCTTCACAAAGACCACCCAGTGTTATTATTAAGCCCCAAGGCTATAGTGAAGAGGTTGAGGTCCTGCTGAGCCCCATATGCGAGTGCTCATGTCAAAAGGACGTGGTCCCACGCAGTCCTTCATGCAGCCATGGCAACGGCACTCTGGAGTGTGGCACATGCAGGTAGGTGAAGTAGCTTCAAATTCACTAACAAGCTTAATTTCAGGTTATTTTCGGGAAGGAATCAAGCAAAATATATTTGCTTCTGCATTTCAGGTGTAAAGAGGGGAGAGTCGGAACGTTGTGCGAGTGTAATCAAGCAGAGTCGGGCAAGGCGATTGACTCATACCTTTGCCGCCGTGATAATGCAACCGAAGTGTGCAGCGGACACGGAGAGTGTGTTTGTGGGAAGTGTGTTTGTCATAAGAGCAGCAAAAAGCCCAACCACGCTTACTATGGGCAGTTCTGTGAATGCACTGATTTCAGCTGTGATCAGTACCGAGGACTCCAGTGTGGAGGTAACACATAGGCAGCCACTCTTAAATAACATGTGTCACATATTTCAATAAGTGATTACACTTCATTTTGAAATAAAACTCTTTAATCATGGTCTGCCCTCCCAGGGCATGGCAGGTGTGTCTGTGGGGTGTGTATATGTCTCCCTGAGTTTCGTGGTCGAGCATGTGAGTGCCCTCTCAGCTTGGGGTCTTGTCTGTCTCAGGATGAACAGATTTGTGCGGGCAGAGGGGACTGTCACTGTGGCACCTGCATGTGCCATGATAACCGCTTCCAAGGCCCAACTTGTGAGCTTTGCCCTTCCTGCCCAGGCGTCTGCACCTTGCACAGGTACTACGGCCGATCTAGTTCTAAAAATTAAGTGAAAATTCAATGGAGTACGGGCGTTTTTTGTATTTACTGGATATTCCATGACAAAAAGATAGAAGAATACGCTGTCTACTTTCATTGCTTTTCTTACTTTTCATTGCCTCAGTTCTGTTAACACCGATGGTTCCTTTCTACAGAGAATGTATCTTGTGCAGGGCCTTCTCGCTGGGCTTGAATCCAAAGGAGTGCGAGATGAGGTGTATACACCTGAACTTTACTCTGGTAGGTCAGGCTGGTGTCTTAGCAACAGTGCCCCCCTCTCCAAGCCTTCACAGTTGTGTGGAAGTGGACACAGAGGGCTGCAGAGTGCACTTCCTGCTGAGGACCAGACAAAAAGAAGACTCTGTCCATGTTCATGTAGCTCTTGAACGAGGTAGGCGGACCAGATTCTCTGTTTTCTCATGACTGCACCAATATGTGCACAACACTAGAACGGTTCAATATATTTTGTCAGTCGAAGCAGCTCTAGGGATTTCTTCTTAATGTAAAAATTGATTTTCTGTACATCATGATAATGAATCAAACTTGTCTTTTTACATTAAACCCATTAAATTTGTCCTTTTTGCTTATGTTGTCAGGTATGGTTCCTCCTACAACCACATCATTTGACAAATTGAATAAAAGACTGACTGGTTTGGTAGTCATTAGTGCATCATGTGCAGTGCACTAATATTACTTTTAATGGTCTGTGTAATACTTTTTTTTCTGTAAAGTTCCTTGATGCTGCTTTCACTTTCCACAAGATTTAACAGGCTATTAATTTAATCTAAAATACATTTTTGGAATGAATGTTGACCATCTGTTTCTGGTAAGGAGCTCTGACTTCCTCTGTCTCTCAAGAATGCCCATCAGGACCGAATGTGATCCTGATTACCGCAGTGCTATCAGCCTCTGTTGTGGTGCTGGGTGTGGCTTTGTTGCTGCTATGGAAACTACTCACCAGCATCCATGACCGCAGGGAGTTTGCCCGCTTCCAGAGAGAGCTTGAGCGGAGACGCTGGAACAGGGTGAGCCCTGCCCAAATAAACCCTTCTGTCATTGCCTGTCAGTCAGAGGATGTCCAATAAATGTAAGAATTTGTCTTGGTGACATTGCTGCAGGGACATTTTGACAACTAACGCTGTAAAACAAGAGCATTCTGGTAAACAATGTGCAGAGGAAACAGGGAAATACAAAAAGAGCTAAAGAAAAATGACCACATACACAGGAACTTCTCTAAAAAGAAACATGCTGCATTGTATGTGTACATGTCATGACTATTATGGCCAAATTACAATATTAAGTAATCCGTTTTATCACTAACACCTTCAATGTATCACTAGTAATGTGACAAAAAAAGAATGTCTAAGAATAACCATGCAGGATGACACTTGTTTCTAATTTGTCGCAGAGGGAAAACCCAATCTACAAGAGTGCCATCACGACAACTGTCAACCCTAAATATAAAGAACAGTGATGGCAGCCATTGAAAGAGATATCTACTTCAATCCAGACCTCTGATGTGAAGCACAATGAAACAACATCCTTCATCTGAACTGTTGTCAGCAGTTGGTCCAACTTGTTTGGCAGGGCAGGGGGGGAAACGGATGTTGATGTCTGATCCCTTTGATCTCAATATGCAACCCCGGACTGCCAGTCTCCAACCCTTCCCTTCCCTTCCCTTCCCTTCCCTGCATGCACTGCAAGCACACACAGTCAAACAGCATCCCCCACATAAACTGCTTCTTATACACGGTTAGTTGTCTGTGGGATACATGCAAAGTTAATGCCCCTCGGATTGTTCAAATCCACAAAAGCTAATTCCATACAGTGTATTATTTTGTAAAGCATATGCAAGGAAAATCTCCTATACATGCCGACGGTTGGCTCAGCTGTGTAACTTGGTTCTCAGAAGGCAAGATATAGTAAGGTGAGCATTCTGCATTATGCATTGTAATCTCAATGGAGACACAAGTCTTCACATGGGTCTCCACTGCCCTCTAGATGAGAGGAGCAGAAATTGTCAGCCTGCTGGAAATGATGAAGAAGCTTCACATGCATTTACAGTTTGCCACATAGTCAGAGAAGATGCTATTTTGGACACAAACATGAAACTCAGACTCTTGGTGCTTTTTTTTATTCCAACAGACACCTCTGAATTCATCAAAGAGAGCACTGCAGGCTTGATATGGCGCAACGTAGTGTACAACTTTAACAGAGCAGCCAGTGTACGTGCCAGCCACTTTGCCAGAGCACTGGGCTGAAACATGTAAGCGCACAGAAACAATGGGATGTTCACATCTAAATGGATATTAGGGTTTTTTCCACTGCCTACAGATGGCTGCTGATGACCTTGCTGGGAGAGTTGAGCAAAGCAATATTAATCATAGCAATGCCTCCTCCACTCCCAGAGTCACTGGGCAGGCGTGCATGCAGCTTTAACAGCCAGTGGGAGGTGGGAGGTGGTGGTGATAGTGGTGGTGGTGGAGCAGCAAAGAAAATGACTCCATATGCTTCCACTATGCAGCATTCTCTGTCATCTGTGTCTGAGCATAAAAAATGTGCAGTGCAAATATCACAGCTTGGGGGGGGCAGCAAAGGCAGCCCTGCGACAAGACTCATGTGAAGGGGCAGAGATGTGTGGCGAGCAGGGTGCAGGGTGGATGACCATGCAGCCCTGAAGGAGATAGTTACATAACAAATGCTGCAGCCAGTGTGTGTGTGTGTGTGTGTGTGTGTGTGTGTGTGTGGGGGGGGGGGGGCATCTCATCACTTGTTATTCTGTAAGAGGCTTAAATAAATAAAATAATATTTTGCCAGTGGCTGCCTTTCCTTTCTTGGTGTCTGTGTATTTAAAAGTATACATGTATGTGTAGCCATTTCTCTTTTGGTTACCTGAATGCATCATTTAAATAAAGAACTGAAATTATTATTATTATTATTATTATTATTATTATTATTACTAGTGGGTGGGCGGGGGGACCAGTGAGCTCATCCTCCCCGAGCTCTCCACAGGTGATTGGTGGCATTCACCCTCCAATCACAATTCGCCTGCAAAGTGGCTTGGTGGTCAGTTTGGATCTTTTTTTTTTTTTTTTTGTCGAAGTAACCTTAACGAAGTATCCAAGTTTACCGTCAGCGACCGGATATCACTTTATCCAACCCGGGCTTTTGTGTCCAGCAGCCCTCTCGCTGCGAGTTCACCGCACTTTCAGAAAAAAAACAACTCCATTAAATCCGTTTTTTCCCCCTTTTGAGGCGTCCTGAGGGGAGCTAACCAGCGTTAGCATTGGGCTAGCATGACAGCCAGGAGAAGAACTGCCATCATCATCCTCATCCTCCTCATCCTCCCCTGTGGCTTTGCTAGCAGCAGGTAAGTTGCAACTCCGAGCTCAGGCTAGTTTTCTCCCCTCCCCTCCTCCCCTCCCGTTGTTGCCTTCGTGGGAATCGAACCGGACGCCTTTTGGATGCGGACAAGTTAGTTAGCGAGTTCATATTAAAGTGTTGGCGGTCTGTCCGCAAACTGTACGCTGGCTGGTAAATGGCGCAGGGTCAGGGTAACTGGGCTAAGCTAGCGTTAGCAGCCTGACAGCTAGTCTCGGTGTCGCTGTGCAAACACAGCTGTGTCTGAAGCGGTTTTTAAACCCGCTAAAAGCTGCTTTGTAATCGGCTTCGTAGCGGTGCATGCTTGTCGTCCAAATTTGCTAAGAGGATTTCTGACTGTTATTTATTTTAATTTTTTTTTTCTATCGTGTCCTCTTCTGTTTACCCCCCCTCTCCTCGTCCGTATATGGGTTTGCACTAATGTGCACTCTGTGATGTTGCAGCAACACAACTTGGTGTTCATTATTAAACACAGTCCACAGGAAGTCGCTTTTTAAAAATAAATGCACACCGTCATTTGAATCGAAAAAGAGCTACTGTGAATTTGAGGATGCTAGTGTGTGTGTGTGTGTGTGTGTGTGTGTGTGTGGTAGATAACTGTAATCCTGCTCCAAATGTTCTCCCCAGTGCTCCCATATATTTCAGTGTATGACTGCAATCAATGCCCAGTAGAGAAGAAAATAAAAGAGTGTGACGACTTGGCACATCTCTCATATTAACCATGTGTTTTTAATCAATCATGTTCTGTTAATTATGCTTTTTGTGTGTGTGTGTGTGTGTGTGTGTGTGTGTGTTCCCACTTTCTTTTTCACAGGCTTCCATTATGGTCTACAGATGTGATCCAATTGCTCCCAAATGGATGATGATCATCATGTCAGCCTTCCACGTCTGTATCATTCACTCATGCCCACAGGAGGTCTCACCCATCCCTGCAGGTTATTTGCATTTCTTATCTTTCATATTCTATTTAGTTATGCCATTTAAAATACGTATCATTTACGCATACTGTGCCCCCCCTTTATATCGCTATGTAAAAAGCAGGTAGCCATGGTTGGGGGGGCTGTGTTGCCCATGGGGACTACCCACCTTAGAAATGTCTGCACGCTCATTTCTCATTTCTCAGAATTGCTTATGCAAAATAATTGGTATTTGCACTATTCATCTCGAGTGTTCAACATTTGTGTTGCACTGCCAAAACTTTACACACAGATGTGTTGCAATGATGCATATGTAATCAGTGTGTCAGTCTAGACACGAGTGCATCAGCTCTCTTACGTCGTGTGTGTGGACAGGTGTCATGTGCAAACGGTTGAAAGAGGTTTGTGGACTGAGAATGCACAGAATATACATCTATAATGAGGTTTTCGCTTTCCTTGCAAGGAGTACGTTTGTCTTGAGGTTTTATAGTTTCCATATAGATCTTTACTGAATATACTTACTGAGTAATTCGACCTATTAGTTTTATTTGTTTGTTTTCTTTTATTTTACCTTTATTCAACCAGATAGGTCAATGGAGAACCAATTCTCATTTACAGCCACGACCTGGCCAAGAGGCAAGTCCAATAAGTAAAACAAGCATGCAGCTACTGTGTGATAAACAGTACACTTAAAGTTAGAACAGCACCATATGTAACTAGGTACACAACAGGAGTCAAAGTACTGTGTTCCAGAGAAGTAGATTGAAAAACAAGTGCAATGATCAGAAACTAATGCATGTACGGAGTTATTGAAGGAGGTACGGTAAGGGTGTGCAGCTTTGGCCACTTTTGCAACCGGTTCCAGTCACTGAGAGCTGCAGGCTGAAAAGAGTGACGGACTTCCAGGGTGTCCAGAGTAATGAATTCGCTAGAACGCAAAATTGTGGTTACTGTCAGAAATGCTGAGTAGAGAACGGAGATATGCAGAGGTTTTGCCAATGATAGTTTTATAAATGACGCCTGGTGTGGAGTGATGGTCAGTTGACTAGAGAGTACAAGCTACAGTGATGAGTATGGAAAGGGGCACCTGTGACAAAGCGGATGGCGGTATTGTAAATGGCAATTACAATTAGACTTTACACTTTTACATCTGAAGCAGTGAGCATTGAATTAACAGTTATTGGACTTATGTGTGTATACTTCTCTGTCCTTGGGTCTGTGTTTAGTACCATATGCTGAGAGACCAAAGTATCAGGCAGGTCTCCCTTTATTATGCAAAGGCATTCCTTTGGGCCACATTTAAATCAAACCTAAAACATCAAGCACAAGTGAGCTGTCTAAAATATTAAACATGGATAAGCCATATTATTTTCTCATCATTTGTGCCAAACACGTTGCCTTCAGAAGTTCAGAAACGATCAGCTGTAGAAGTTGGTGACTCCTGCGATGGGTTGTGAGGTAACCAAGTTTGGTTTGATCGGCGGGAAAAACAATTGGCACATTGTGGAAAAAGTCGCCAGCGGAGAAAGGCGAGACGTGGCTCATCTAACAGGTGGTCAAATGTAAGTAACATCGCAGTACATCAGTAATGTGCAGAAGGACCTGTCAAGATGCACTGTTTGCCCGCCCACCCTTGAAGCTTTTGGCCCACAGCAGCAGAAGACCGGGACGGAGCTACACTGGATCACAAAAGTGACAGCTGACAAATTAAACAATGTTGCGTGTTTGAGTGTATCATGTTGCTTTTGCTATATTTCTGTCTCTTGGCACGGTATGAATCCATGGATCTTCCCTCACTCTCGCTGTGGTCACAACATCATATAAGGACCATTGGAAACCATTATTATACGGATCTAGTGAAGAAAATGACAAAAGAGCCTCAGTCATTTTAATGTAAAGAGTGCTCGACTGTGTCTTTGTTTGGGACTGTTAATTAACTTGAAGAATAAGCCGATTTTGGTATTTTCCGGCTGTATTTGTATAGCTTTACAGTTATAATTTCAGTTTGCAGGGAGAACTGCTATTCTGTACTGTTTAAGGTACGGAATAACAAAAATAAGCTCAAATGTTGCTAAAATATATAACTTTACAGTTTTACTGAGCTGTTTTTGTTTGTGTGTCCACCCTCTGCAGCTGCATGTATAGTATGTGAGTAAACATAATCTTTATATTAAATTAATAAAAAAAAAAATATTGTGGAGATGGGAATGTTTACCCACTTTTTTTTTTTTTTTTTAAAAAGCTTTGTCTGACCCTGTTTGCATTAACAGAAAAAGTAAAGCATCCACTTGTAATCACAGTGCACTGTAGTAAATTAGCGAGTGTACCACACGGTGGCGATATTTGCAAAACAATTCAATCTAATGGGAAGAACGTGTCCTATATTTGGTTGCACATTAATTCTAACACGCATGTTGTGTGTCCTTGCAGGGTTTTAAAAAAAAGCCAACCTCGCATAGCCTGCCTGTGAGTGGTAATGGTGTTAAACCCAGAAATATATTTTAATGGTGTGGCGCGTCTGACATGCGCACTGTTGTTTTTTTTATTTATTTATTTATTTATTTTTAATGCCACAAATTTTACATAGACAATAAATATGTTTCCGTACGTCAGCACAGGATGAGAACCGAGCCTGGGAAGTTCACATCCCTTCATCAGCATCCAGCATCTCGCCCCCACCCGTCGGTCCTCCCCCCTCCTCCCTCCCTCCCTCCCTCGCCCGTACCCCAAGGGTTTCGCGAGCGCGCACGCGTGCGAAACTGCGTGGGAATGGCTGTTTGTGTGATCGAGGGGGTTGGGCCGCTTGGAGCGAGCGGAGAGCTGCATGAGTTTGTAATGTCCGCCATGTTGGCCATGGCGTATTGAACCGGGGAGGAACAGCGGAGCCTAGGAAAAAAAGAGACCGACAGAGAGCGACCGAGACCCGGGCCTGCCCGGCTCTGTTCGCGCTGCTACGGACCCAAGCCTGCCCTCAATCGACCGGCTGACTCCTAGAGACCGTCACAGATTCATCCATGAGAACTCGAGGCAGAACTGCTGTTATTCCTAGCAGATCGAATAGATTTATGCTGCATCTTTTAATATAAAAAATGAGTAAGTTGTCGTTTCGGGCACGGGCGCTGGATGCTAGTAAGCCTCTACCCGTCTTCCGCTGCGAGGATTTGCCTGACCTGCACGAATATGCCTCGATCAACAGGGCAGTGCCGCAGATGCCGACTGGGATGGAGAAAGAGGAGGAATCGGTATGTTTTTTTATTGCTGCCCGACTGGCGGTGGATCACTTTGGCCGTGTTTTCACACCGAGGGGCGCCACTATGTTTGCCTGCGCAAGCTTGTGCAAAATGGCCGCCATGTCTGCTCTTTCGTGCACACGACGGATCTCGACGAATACTCGATATTACGACTCCTCGCCGCCACATGTGTTGTTGTGAGGCGGCGGCGGTTCGATATCTTATTCGCGAGCCGTGTTGTGTCCATTTGTTTCACTTGAAATTGCACCCGAAAGCACAAAGAAGTCACGTGACTTGTATCTGCTCCACCATTTTGTTGACTTTCTCTTCGGTAAAGGCAAGCGGGGGGATAGGCCTCGGACGCCGTGTACTTTCCGCGAGCAAATGCCAGGGGGAGACACTGA